AAAGCGCCTGCCTGGCAAGCGCAAGGTCGTGAGTTCAGTTCCTGGTACCGGAGAAAAACCAAAAAAACAAAAAAACAAAAAACAAAAAAAAAAAAAAAAAAAAGAAAGGGGTGCCTGGGCCTATAGCTGTGACCTTATGTCAACCCTGGCAGGACCCCAGACTGGTCTGAGGGTGGGGCAAGGTCTCATCTCCATTGGCCACACAATGTGCCATACATGGTCCCCGTGCTGCCACAGTGCCTCACCCCCCCACCCCCTCCCAGAACCTGTAGCGACTCTTCACCTCAGGACAGATAGGCAGAGCAGCCTATAAGGCCTTGGCCCAGGCCCAAACTTACAGCACTGAAGCGTCATGGTCTGTAGTGTCAGGCCTGGCCAGTGGGAGAGTGAGTTAAATAAGCTATCCTTTGGGTGTGGGTGTTGTGGTGGCACAGGCTGAAGCACCCTCGGGGATTTCCCCTTTGTTCCATAGCTATTGAAACAAACATGGCACACTTGCCTGGCTTAAAACAAGCAGATTTATCCTAGTACAGTTCTGGTAGGCAGTATACAAAGTGCTCACCTGGAGCAGAATCAAAGTGTAGCCAGGCTGGTTCCTTCTGAGGTTGAGGAACCGTTTCCTGCCCTGGGCTTGCTGCCCCTCCTCTGCAGTACTAGAGTGTGCACCCCTCCGCCAGTGCCACTTGGTACCTCCAGCTTCCTCTTATGAAGACCCCAGGACCACACGGCCCACCTAAGTAACCAAGGGCAGCCTCATTCTGAGGTCCTTAGTGATGCATTTAGAAGGGTGAATCTCGGGTGTCAACTTGATTGGATTGAGAAGTATACTGCTGAATAGCTTGTGATGAAAGAAAGTGATAAATTTTGTAGGAGATTAGTAAAGCACACTTGTGGAAGTGGGTGGTTTCGGAAAGGATAGGAGCACAAGAGCTCTAAGTCATCCATGGATGAGGTCATCATTTGACAGCATTATTGGAAAGCCGTGGAACTTAGGAAGTGGCTCTCATAGAAGGGAACTGGTCTTGGGAGGTTATGACCTTGAAGACTACATTTGGTGTCTGGTACCTCCCCATCTGGCTCTCTCCCCAACTGTGCTTCCTGGATGCTGGGAAGTGATCGCCTTTCCTTCACTATGCCCTTTTGCCTTAGACCCAACTGACCATGGACTGGAACTGTGACACAAAATAAATCTTTCCTCCTTTTAAGATGTGTATGTCAAGTGTTTTGTCCCAGCAATGGAGAGCGGACTAATGCAGCCCACCAGTCCCTTTTTCCATGTCAGGTGACACATACTCAGGCTCTGGGGTGATGACATGGATACCTTTTGGGGCGGCTGTCTAGCTGACTGCAGTCACAACACATTGAGGGGCCAGCCTGCTGCCCTGATTCCAGGACAAGAGTCATGGGTCTTGCTGTGCATCCTGGGTGGAGAGCCACAATTGCTGCCCCTCCAGGAGCCTGGCATGTGCCTACCATCCTGGCACCTGTAGGGCACCCAGAGGAGGAGGAACATGTGCCGAAGCTCTGTAATAAGGTGGCCAGGAGTAGTGCTGGCTTCAGGGATTGGAAGAAGGCCGGCGTGTTCACGTACAGCCTTTCCAAAGGAGGGAATTGCATCATCTAATTGCCTGGCAGCTCCTAGCTCCTTATAGCTCTGTGGAACTGTAAAGTGTGTTCTCAGAAGGCGTGCTCGCTCTTTTTCACATGTGTTGTATCCATAATCCCAGACTGAGTAGATGTGGCATAACACAGATAACACAGAGAATCCTGCCCCCACGTGAGGGTCTAAAGACCCCACAGTAACTGGCAGTCATGGCACTGGAGATGGTCGTTGTGGAAATTATTGTAGTGTCTCCTGGGGAGGACTGTGTTTCATTTCGTAAAGACTTTCTCATATGTGTTCACATCCCTAGAACAAAAAGATGAAGGAAAACAGAGTCACCCAGTTATCTGTGAAGTGAGTGCCTCCAATCCTGAGCTATCCTGAGCAAAATGCTTGTCCAAGTTGGGGACCTGAGGACAGGTGTCTCACACAGCAGGTGGGCTCCTGTACTCTGGGCCACATGAGAGCCTGGTGTGGCCTGTGGTGGGTCAGAAGCCCTACCCTGCCCCTGCAGAGAGTGTGCCCTGGGGCTGGGCCTTGGCTGCGGGGGACACAGCCTGCCCACTTCTGCTGGGCACAGTCCTCACAGCCTGTTCTCCCTGTGCTCATTTGCTTAATGACTGTTACCTTTCCGGAAGGAAAAGATCAGTGATGTCCAAACCCACAGTGTTCACATGGCTATGGAGACAAGGTTAGCACTGAACATCTATGGCCACAAAAGTAACCCTGAATTCTCTGTGACCAAAAGCTGCATTCTGAAAATTTGTGGCCAGCATGTGCCCTTAGAGATCTCCCAGGCACTGCACTGAAACAGTTGCCCTCTGCAGACTCATCTTAGTACTGGGTGTCCAGGCCAGTGGAGAGTTTGGAGGGCCAGAGAGACCAGAGCCTGGAAGTGGGATACTTCTGCAGACTTCTGCCTCTAGCCTTCACCTGCTGGAAGGCCTGCACAGGGGTATGCATCTTTGCCACTCCTGTTGCCTTTGCAGTGTGTCCAGTAACTCTGCAGCCTTCACCGGTTGAGGGTGGAGAATACAAACAATACCTCTCTCTCTGCATCAGCCCTGTGCTGCCATCCAAGAGTAATGTGAAGTGCCCAGGAGCTTGGAGACCACAGAGTAGGGGCCGCATGAACACACAAATGCTAGCACAGCCCTGACTTTGTTTGATCTCATTGCTGTAGAATAACCTGAAGGGAGTGCCGCTTCTCCTGAGAAATGTGTATCTTCTGGGAAACTCGGTGATGCCGGCAGCTTTGTGTCTTTCTGTTGGGATCCCAGGCATTCTCAGTGTCCAGGAAGTGCCCAGGTGTTGGCTGCTAGGCCAGGGGTACATTTCATCACAATGTCTGCACTGAGTGATGGGAACTATGCAGAGACGGGTGGACAGAAATTTTTATTCCATCAGAGAGCTGCGAGATTCCTTCTGTGCGGTGGTGGCTGCTGTGTTGCCTGGAGACAGAGCTGAGCGCTGCCTGGGTCCTGGCGGGTGGCGGGGACAGGCTGTGCACACCAGCCTGCCAGAGAACAGCCTGTTGCCGCTGAAGGCTTGTGGGTGCAGGGTGTGTTTTTCAGAATTCATTACTTCCTTTCATGGCAGGCTGGTCGATTTTTTCCTTTAAACTCACATGATTAAATTAAGGCCAGAAAAATTAGTTATAGATTTCATGACTGGGATTTTGACTGTTGAATTCACTAAAGGAAGCTTTGCAGCAACATCAGGAGTGGTGGCAAAGTTTCCACTACATAGTCATACTACACACATCACATTGTCAGCTTCTACCAGAGTAAGAGCTTTGCTATCTCTGAGCTGGATTAGAGTCTGCAGAGACATGCAGGAAAAGCATGTGTATGTAAAGAGATTTACTGCAAGGAACATGGCAGCTGGGTGTGGTGGTGCACGCCTGTAATCCCAGCACTTGGGAGGCTGAGGCAGGAAGATCATTGCAAGTTCAAGACCAGCCTGGGCTACAAAGTGAGCTCAAGGCCACCCAGAACTGCATAGCAAGACCCTGTCTCGAAAAAGACAAAAAAAAAAAAGGAACATGGGTGCCAGGAAGCACAAGGTCTGCAGTCACAAGCTAGAGGCACAGGAGCTGATGCTCCATTTGTGGACAGTGAGAGGCTGCTGTCCTGGCTCTGTAGTCAGTTCTCTTCAGACCTTCACTCCCCTCGCATGTCAGTCTCATCCAGAAACAACCTCACAGGCACACACAAAATAATGCCTCACTGACATGTAGGTGCCCTGTGGTGCACACAGAGTTCCCTATCACGTGAGCTCTGACCTGTACTCCCATCCCACACACTGTGCCCTTGTGGCTGGGAGACTCCATTCACTGGCATCCCAGGAGACTAGGACTGACAGGTGACAAATTGCATTTCTCACCATCAGCAAAGACTTATTTTATATCTGTCATTCCCGGACCTCTGCATGATCTGTGAGGGGCCCATGACTGGTCTCCCAGGCCTGTGGGCAGAAAGTGTGAAGCTGGACATAGCTTGTCCTGGAACCACACGACGGAACTGTCCTGGCCTAGCAGGTGGGACTCTTGCATGAGGAATGGATTTCTTTGGAAAGACCAGGGGACCTCTCAGGTCCTGCACTTTCCCGTCCACAGTGGTGCGATGACTGCTGTGCCAGGGCTGTAGCAACAGAGCTACACTCTGGGGTCTTCTCTCAACTCAGCATCTGAGATGGGCAGTGCAGGTAAGCTTGGTCTCCCCTGCATCCCAAGAAGCTCCAATACTGCCCCTCCATTCAGCAAGGGCAAGAGAGAGCAGGGCAGGTGGCTTCCCATGAGACTGAGGCCAGATATCCAGGCCTCTAGAGTCAGCAAGAAGTCTGAAGTACACGTGGGCCATAGGCCCAGGTAGAACTCCGATTGCTCAAGTTGGTACTGGTTAGTAGCCTGTGCCATCACAGCAAACAGTGACTGCAGTCTGCTGCCAGTGCCCACGGGAGGCCTCTGCAGTTTAAGGTGTCACAAGGTCTGGCCATAGTCTGGCTACACATGTAAACATGGGAGGTGGAGGGCATGGGCTGTGCTCAGCCAGAGCCAGGGCATTGCAAGATCAGTGTCTGGTCAGCTCCAGGTCTCATGTCCCCAATCAACCTGGTAATGGGTATAGCTGGTTTACCTTTCTGTTTGCAAAGACCTGGGGCAGAAGTTAGCAGACTCCCACTGATATGCAGTGAGTCAGCCCAAGAGCAGTGGCGGAGTCTCAAGCTGCAGCCTGGGGCTGAGCTTCAGGTCTGTCCATTGTTCTCTGTGGGATGAGTTTCATTCCTCCTGTTGCCGAGAAGGTGGAGTGAGTGTAGTATGCGGCAGGGGCTCGGCTTCACGTTCTACCAGGCTGCATCCAACAGCAGGTGTGGCACAACCTCCTACCACCCTACCACCATATGGCCTGGCCCACCGAGCTGCCTAGACTTGGTATGGAAATCCTAGTTGTCCCCTCCGCACCACCCCAGCATTGCTACCCGTGTTGCCCCTTAGGGGCACAGGGTACAGGATAGCTGGGCTGGTGTCTTAGTTATTTTTGTCATTGCTGAGACAAAATACCTAACACCCAAAGTTAAAGGAGGAAAGGTTTATTTAGCTCACAGTTTATAGAGGTTTCAGTCCATAATCGGCTGGCATGCTGGTGTGGCACAGAAGCATCACAGAGGAGAAACAGTTCATGGCAGACAGAAGGTAGCCAAACAAGCAAGGGAGGACCACAACCCTTTCTGTCCTTTATGTCTTATCCAGGCTACTTAGGGCGGGTAGCACTCACAGCCTTAATCCTAGTGCCCTTGATCCTAGCATTGCACCATGAATCAATATCAACATCACACACTACGCCCACCTCTGAAAAAGCTCCACCTATGACCACATGAGGCTTTTGGGGGGACATCTAGATACAAGCCACAGCAGCAGGTTAACTTACTAAGCACAGGATGAAGGTAAAGCTCAGAACATTTGTTTCCCCCTACTTCCTGCACAAAATTGGCAGGAAAAAACTAGGAGAGTTGTGTTTTGCATTTTTGCTTTAGTGTGAAAAAAAAAAATCCTCAAATGCTGGAATAAAAGTTACAAGATTCTTTTTTCCAACAACAACAACAAAAAAAAGTTGTTTGGGGGCTGGGGATTTAGCTCGGTGTCACAGCACCTGCCTGGCAAGCGCAAGGTCATGAGTTCGATTCCCAGTACCAGAAGAAAAACAAACCAACTAAAAAAAAGATTCTTTTTTTCTATTATCTATCCAAGGTCTTTGGTCTCTTCTGATACCATAAGAAGCAGAATTTGGTACCGGCCAAGCTCTCAGACTGCTCAGGACCTTGAAACATTTATTTCTTCTCTCAAGCCTCTGTTTCCTCATCTCAAATGCAGATTCTTCCAAGAGATTAGACTCAATGATTCATGAGAAGTAGAGGATTCATTGTGCCCTTTTGCAGACGAGCACGTGAAAGCACTGCCTGAGACCATAGCAGCAGAGTAGGGGCCTGGCCCAGGAGGTGGGTGGCCTCTCTTCTCTAGCTCCAGAGGTTCCTAAATAACAAGCAGAGTTAGTTGTTGTCTACAGCAGTCACAGCAAAGCTAATCAAAACTGGCCAGCTCTTTAGAAAGCAGGAGACTCTCAGGAAGCACAGGGGGCACTAGGTGGCCCCCTCCTCCCTGCAGGTGGACGTGGTCAGCAGTTCAAAGACCAGCACCTCAGACATAGGGAGCCAGGGAGAACAACCTGAGAGGATCACTGCTGTCCCCTTGGCCCACCTGAGCCCTGGGTGCCCCATTCATCCCCCTCCCCAGCCTTGGGGAAGAACTGGCTGGCCTCACTGACAGCCCAGCCCTGGAAGATACAGAGCTCCTGATTAGTGCCTGGTGTGAGCCTCTGCTGGTCTCCCCAAGCAGCCCACCCTGAGTGGCTCCTAGTCCACCCTGCTGGTGCCCCTGCCACTCTCATGAAGAGGAGAAGCAGATGTGAACAGAGAAGTGAGCCTGCATACTCCTTACCAGCTTTCTGGGGTGGAGAGATTGTGAGGTTGCTGAAATAAGCCATTCCCTGTTAACTGTCAGTGCCTATGCCAGGATCCTCTGTCTTGTCTGTAGCTGCCCAGCATGAAGTGGCTGTGACACTACTGAGAACTTACTGGAAATAAGTGGAAATAGAAGGATTTCTCAGAGGTGGGGATTTCATTGCCTCCCAGCATTTCCCTAAATAGGAATGAATTATTTTGACAGATACGGTGCATTTTTTTAAGGAACTGAATTCATCCAAGCATAAATTCATCAGGCACCACTCAGTTGAGAGAACAGACTCAAGAAGTTGGAGTTGAGATGATTTTAGGCTCTACTTAAGCCTGAAATAGTA